ATAAGTATTGGGGTAAAATGGAAAATGTGAATCAAGTGTTGCTTTTTGCTACTATCCTCGATCCAAGATACAAAATGGATTATGTTGAATATTGTTTAAATGATCTATATATGGATGTAAAAGTTGCTAGTAATATGATGAAGTCTTTGAAAACCAATTTGATAGATATTTATGAGTGGTATGTTGGTCATGAAGGTATTGATGGAAATAGTAAAGTGTCAACCGAGGAGTCTTTAAGTTCTATCAATACATATAAAGGAAGTTCTTCTTCTATTAGTAATGCTCGTCTCAATAGATTTCTGGAAAAACAAGCGGTGAAGGATTCAGTTGAAATAAAAAATGATGTGGAACGATACCTGTTGAAAGCATAGAGAACAAGGATTTTGAAGTTCTGGATTGGTGGAAGGTTAACAGAAATAAGTATGGTGTGTTATCCAATTTGGCCAAAGATGTTTTAGCAATTCAAGTTTCAACTGTTGCTTCAGAAAGTGCATTTAGTACTGGAGGAAGAATACTTGATCCTTTTCGTAGTTCCTTAAGTACTAGAATGGTTGAGGTCTTAGTATGCACTCAAAATTGGTTGAAAGCATCTCCGAACTTGGATGGTTTTTGCATGGAAGATGTTGAGCATTACAACCAAATGGATGAGCTTTTAGATTCAATAAATTCAAAATCAATTGAAGATGACCAAGAACCCGACGCTAAGTGAATCATTTATTTTACAAGATTTCACTTTTCATGTAGGCATATTAATCGGTGAATAATTTCATAATTATTATGTTTCCATCAGTTTTCCCATTTCTGTAAAACTGACTTGTACAATTTTTTATGATAACAGGTTAGTGCATAAAACTTTTGCTTCAACAAACAATGTCTTTTGACTTTATCACGTGTTACAAAATGCAAAGACACTATCAAACTTAAAGAATGTAAGTTCCAGTCTTCCAGAGCTCTAATATCACTGAATACTTTTGTTATATATTACTATAATTGAGTTTACAAATTTGAAGTGCGCTAAGCCTCTAACTATGTTTGAAGGATATTTTGGCTAAAAGTTGCTTACACTGGGTGAGATACTGAGATGGATGCTGTTTTTGAATTTGATTGTGTAGTGAAAATCACTATTTTGCATGACAAAAAATGTAAGTAATTCCCATTCTTGTTTGTAGAATATTGTTTATTTATGCATGAATAGGAATTGAGTTTACATATTTGAAATGCTCTAAGCCTCTAACTATTTTTGAAGGATATTTTGCTCAAAGTTTCTTACACTTGGTGAGATGGATCTTGTTTTTGAATCTGATTGTGTAGTGAAAATCACTCTTTTGCATGACAAAAAATGTAAGTAATCCACATTCTTGTTTGTAGAATATTGTTTATTTATGCATGAATAGGGAAAGCATATTTATATGTCCTATAGCAAAACGGTGGTACTTTCTTTTGACACATTAATTGTTTGCTTTTCTTAGTTCTCATTATCCAGATTTTTGTTAAAAACCAAACATTGAAAAGCAAACCAGGTGGGGGATTTGACAGGAAATGCCAATTTATGAATAAGCTTGTATTTGAGGTTTCCCAGCCTTCTAATTTCTAAATAAACATGGCATTCCCAGCTTTTGAAACAGATTCTAGATAAAGATGGTTCACATTCGTCACAAGGCAAGATCTCCAGGAAGGTTTTCATATAGGTAATCTGGAAAGATTAGTTTTATTCCTTTCCCTTAAGAAATATTTCGTAATTCCATGGACATCAGCAAATGAAAGCTCGAGCAACTCAAAAGCCTGTAATAACTTTTCTTCAAAATGTTCTTTGTCAATTACAACTGGACAGTTTTATTCATAGCCTAGGATTTTTTATTAAGTAGAAACAAGAAGCTGTTAGGAGATGTTTTCCTATTCATGCATAAATTACCTGCAAAGGGAATTATTATTTATTTATAAGCGATAGTTTTATCTAATTACGACAAATGTTTACTTTGTTATTGCCATCAATGTTGCTGTCTTGCTGACTTGCTGGCGTTGGAGTTAAGGGTCCCAAATTACAATGTTGCTGACTTGCTGGGAATCTGAGATGTTCTTACTGCTGCTGGCTTGCTGGGAATTTAAGTTAAGGTCCCAGATGGGTTTACTTTGTTTTGTCATCAATGTTCCTAGACTGCTACTAACTATTGAGTGCTGAGAATCTGAGAATGCCTGATTATGCAACTGCCCCAACTCTCAAGTTCAATGTATTAATTTTCAAGTTCTTTTGACAATGGATGACTGTATTAATTGTATGTTGGTGAATTTTTATTTGGATAGTTGTATGCTATATTAAATATTATTTGTATTTTAGTTATTTGGATGACGAGTTGTCTTTTTTTGAACATAATATGATAATAAATTACACTTTTGCTCAAACCGACCAACCCAACCCAACCCGACCGACACTTGATTAGGTTGGGTTGGTTTGATTTTTTATCAAACCGACAATGTTGGGTTAGGTTAGGGTTGGGGCAAAAACCGACCCAACCCAATCCACGCCCACGCCTATTCATCATTGTAAAAAAATGGATTCACATCATCAATTCATTATTTTATATAAAAAGAACCTTTTCCAGAGGAATCAGAGCAGAGAATATGTTATAAATTGAAGATAAAAAGAGACAACAAAAGATAAAAGTTAATAAACTTATATTTTTTATCAATAACCAAGCCACGTATTGGTAAGGGAAAATTAGAATTACAAGGGATACATTATTCATAACAACTAGGGCTGCACGAATATAAAAATCATCCATAAAAATTACTATAATTAAAACATTAAAAATATTGTTCGAGGAAATATCATTTTTAATTTCATTATTTGGTTTTATACATGTTTTAACATATGATCTTTGACACATGACATACATGATACACACAAACTAAACAAAAGTCTATACCATAGTTCAGGTTGCAAGAGTCTTGAGGAAGAGACTTATCAATGCCTAGGAAGTTAATTTAGGCTTATCTCTGTCGAATTTAAAATCACTCGAGATTAGGAGATCCTTGCTATATCTTTGATTACATATCCTCCCACGGAAACATAATCCCAATGTCAGAATTCTTATAGTTTTAAAAGTACAACATAATCTACAAATAATCTAAGGGTCCGTTTAATTGCAAGAATGAAATTTGAATGGAAAGAAAATGATTCCAGGAAATTGAATTGTTTAGAGCTTGTTTTATTGAGAATTATTAATTAAAAGTGTTTAATTTGTATAACTTTTCACCAGAAAAATATTGAAATTTTGAATCTTTTGGTATTCGTTTGACTTTTTTTTCATGAAAACTATCAATTAAAGGAATAGATTTTTTTACAATTGTGGATAGAATTTGTTCATATTGCTGAAAATTAAAGAAATAATATAAAACTGGTCCATAGTTTTAAGGAAAATGGGTCACTTGAGGGTTGGGGGAGGAAAACCAATTCCCAGGAAAATCTAAGCAATCAAATGGCAAAAAAGGTGGAAAATGGAAAATTTTCTATGGAAAACCCACCGAATCAAACAGGCCCTAAGTGTCAAACTTTAAACCAATTGAGAAGCATTTATGTTGAATTAAAAGAAAACACTAGGATTTTAAATGCCTCTATATTCTTGTATTTTAATATCAATTTCAAAATTTGAAAACACATATTAGAACTTGAAGATTGATGTTCCTAATTTATTTAAGGCAAGTTTGACCTCCTTTACTTTAATTTAATCTATTTTACATATTCATTTTTAATCACAAATTTATACAATGAAATATTGTTTACGTAAATCCAAAACATTTTCTTACTTTTTAATTACACGTTCTCAAAAAAAAAAAAAAGCATTTTAAAACTATGTTTTTAAAATTTTATGGATATCAAACAATGGCTTAACGAACTCTCTCAATTAATATTAAACACATTCTCACGTATGACCATTATCTCTATAAAATATGTTAACCTATGAAGATGAATTAAATCACAAGAACACTCATAAGATTTTGAACTTTGACCGCAATTATTTCTTTTTTTAATTTTCTTAAGTTAGACTCATTTTTGCATTTTTTGAAAAGATTTTGACCACAATTATTTATTTTTTCTTCCTTTTTTCTTTTTATTTATTTAAATGTGAAGCTAAATTCTTCATTTTACATGACTTTATGGAAAAAGATAAAGGATTGTATCCTATAAAGTTTGACTGATTTAGAAAAATTTTGCTCCTAAATAAAATTTTAGGGGGTATTGCTTGAATTGGATAAACGTTATGAAATATTGTGCTGGTTAACATAAACTAAACAAGAGTTTGTTATTACTCTACTGGAGGAAAAAAAAAAGTTACATTTTTAATGTAACCAGTATGTTAAAGCTTTAATATTTGAATACCTTGTCTCTACAAACATGGTTGCATACAATTTCTACGAGAACAACGCATCTAGCAATAGTGGTGCTAAAGTATAATTGGTCCTGTCATAAGTTCCAAATGAATAATATATTTAAATAAATTTATCATTTAATGTCGTACAATTATAACTTATATCAATACTCAACATTGATAATGTTGAATAATAATACTCTTCCTATAAACATGATTGTATGTATTGCATTGGAAGTCTGGTTCATTCTTTTATTAACTGGTAGTATAGAACTTTATAGAAAGACCTCGTCTTTTCTACAGAATGTTATTCTTTTTTATTTATAACTCTTTTTTGTCAAAGATAATGACAAACGGTCCCCAAGGATTTTTTTTCCCAAGAATGCCGGGAAACTCCTAGAGCCTGTTTGGGAGTGATTTTGAGAATTGATTTTTTGACCGTTAAGAGAAAAGTGGGGTCCACTTATGAGAGAAGAAGTCAAAAATGACGGCTGAAATGGTGAAATAACGATCAAAAAATCAATTTTTTGAGTGAAAAAATGGGGCCCAAACAGGCCCCTAGAATCATCGTCTTCTTCCCATATATATCTAGACTCTCTAAGCTACTCTGATTATAGAGAATTTGAAAGCCTGGATTCAGCCATCATAAGAAAACTCATATCCTTATATTGCAATTGAAGAAATCCACTAGATAAATGTCTCTGATTCCAAGCTTCTTTGGTAATCGACGAAGCAACGTTTTCGATCCATTCTCTCTCGATATTTGGGATCCCTTTGAGGGCTTCCCTTTCTCAAGCTCGGTAGCCAATGTCCCAAACTCTGTCCGCGAAATATCTGCATTTGCCAATGCTCGCATAGACTGGAAAGAGACTCCAGAGGCCCATGTTTTCAAGGCTGATCTTCCCGGACTCAAGAAGGAAGAGGTTAAGGTGGAGGTTGAAGAAGGAGGAGTGCTTCAGATAAGCGGAGAGAGGAGCAAGGAGCAAGAGGAGAAGAATGACAAGTGGCATCACGTGGAGAGAAGCAGTGGCAAGTTCCTTTGCCGGTTTAGGTTGCCGAAAAATGCCAAAACAGATCAGGTAAAGGCTAGCATGGAGAGTGGTGTGCTTACTGTGACTGTGCCTAAGGAGGAAGTGAAGAAGCCTGAGGTGAAATCCATTGAGATTTCTGGTTGATGTTTTGATCTTGCTGATAAATTTATGATGTCTGTCTGTGGTGTGATAATGCTAATTCAGTGTTTATTGTCTCATGTTTGGAAATGAAGGGGTGTGTTTGGTGTTGAAAGTAATGTAAAATTTTCAAATTAATATAAAAGTAAATTTCTGTTGTTCTTGCACATTTGTAAAAGTTATTAGCTATCCATTTATTACCAACATTACAGTTCTTACCCAAAATTACAGTGAACAAGAGATATTATTTCTTAGAAAATTAAGAGATTTTCGGTTGATAGGGCAATAATTTAAAACTTAAGCTAACATTCTACCCAATTAATATAATACCATATCAAAATTTCAAAAAGAGACTCCACTGTCCTTCCACGAATACTGAAGGCTTACTAGAGTCATAAAATTCTGAAAGTACAATTCAACTTCTTGTGCCAATTAGTATATACCATATCTAGATCTTCGAAGACAACTCTACTGCCCCTTCGCGAATATTGTATGAAATTCTGAAAGTACAATTCAACTTGAAGGATGCTGAGCAACATCAATTTACCATCCACAACACAACATCAGGAGTATGGTCGTTTATTTGACTCTGCTTTATGTATGTATACACCACACGTCTGTCCCTTGAAGAAGGCACATGCATCACCTGAATTTGATCCAACTTCAACCTTCCAGAATGCCCTTTATGCAGCACTTCGTACCTACAGAATATTAAAAATGGCACAAGTAGCATGTAAATTTGTAGTGTAGTTCAAATTTAAAATAGTTTTTGTATATCTTTCTTGATCGAATGATAAGTCTTGTCACTCTGAAACCATAGTGTTATTTGAATGATTAAAATCAAATCTTCTTGACAAAGATGGAAGTATCCACAAATGCACAATACAAAGAGAGTTATAGGATTTTTTAACGGTACTCTAAAGGCTTGAAAGGAAATTAAGCAACTAAAATGTTAGCTTAAAAATAAAGAATCGAACAGAAAATTAGCACAAAGCCAGGTAGGCAATCAACAAAATTACAAGATACACATCTCGATGCTGACAATCTTATAACAAACAAAGGAATCGTAATTTTGTGACATGCTACTCAAGGATCCATGGAAAGTATCAGATGATCATTCATGCTAGACTATCATTGTTTTGATGTAGTCAATAAGAGCATCCAAATTGTGATACGATGATCCACCTTCATTAACAGCTTTTCTTGCAAGATTTGCCACATTTTGTGACCTTTTCAAGAACTCATCCTTCCTTTCTTCCATAAGCTCTTTGACAGCTTTCTCAATAATATCTCTATCACAAGTATCTTTTATGTCTAACCCAATCTTCCAACCCTCACTCACAAACCTACTGTTAATTGTTTGATCACCAAAATATGGCCAACAAATCATTGGCACACCAACTACAATACTCTCCAAAGTCGAGTTCCATCCACTGTGAGTCAAAAACCCACCCACTGCCTCGTGGTTCAGAACTTCTTCCTGAGGAGCCCATCCTACCATGTAACCCCTGGCCTTCGTACCCTCCTCTAATTCTATTGGAGTTTGATTCTTCACACCTTCCCCTACAATTGAATCTGGTCTCATGACCCACAAGAACCTCTGTCCACTATTCACCAATCCATGCCAGAATTCCAGTAGCTGCTCTCTTGTCACAACTGTAATGCTTCCAAAACTAACGTAGATTACTGAATTTGACGGCTGTGCATTAAGCCAATCCAGACAACTCCGGTCTTCAGCCCAGAAGCTTCCTGAAAGAACTGAATTATCGACCTTCTTCTCAGCCAGTCTCGACTTCAGGTGGGAATGATTTGGTCCAATGGTGAAGACTTTTGGTATGTGCTTCCGTATATGAGATATTATTGACCCTTCTAGATCTTCAAAAGTGTTAAAAATGGCTGCTTGCGCTCTTGTGGTTTGTCTGGTCAGGGATTTCATCATGTGAAGTTTTGGCTCATTGATGTCGTTGACACGGCAAAAGCTGGGCAAGTCACGGATCCTTAGAAAACCTTCCATTCCCGGTATACTTTTTACTAATTGGTCCATGCCAATACCTGCAAAATTCATCAAGACAAGAAATTAAATATCTTTACACCTCTTTTTGACTAAATTAAAACAGATTGGTTGACTAGAAATCAGAAAAGAAAGTGGATACCTTGGACGAAAATTTCACCAGCTTCAATGAGTTCAGGTATACAAAAAGAAGCCCAAAAGGAGCAAGAACTTATAGTACGAAAATATATGAGGGGAATCCCTTTCTCTTCAGCAAAATCACCGGCAAATGTCAGGACCCCATCAGCTATGATGCAAGTAATTGGTCTTCGGGTTCCGGAACCGAATAAATTCTTCTCTGACATCATCTGCTTGAAGAGTGGTCCTGTTATGTTTTTGGTTGAAGTCAGGATGTCCACGACTTGCTCGCCAACTCGAGGATGGTCATCAGGAAGCCCATCGGTAATGGACTGGAAATGGAACCCAGGATACTGCTTGAAACGCGAAACGACTGTGGTGTGCTTCAGGAGGCGGTTGTAGCTGAAATCAGAGACCATGAATGTAATGTCAAGGCCAGAAAGACACAGGAGTTCGGCTAGTTTGAGCATGGAAGTCACATGGCCTTGAACTGGCATCGGAAAAATGAGTACATGAGGAGGGAGTATGGCACCTTGAGAAGCCATTAGCAAAAACAAAAAATTTGTAATGAAATGAGGATATTGCTGTTGCCAATATTTGTCACGTTCCGTCGTTCCTTAATGTATTTTATGCAATAATACAACTAATCAGAGTCTTGCGGCAGAGAACGTCAATTACTTTGTCCTACTAGCACAATAATCACATCTAAGAAAACATAAGACGCCACTAATGACGTCAAAATGTATTAAGATAGAATTGTGCTCCCCCTCACAATAGGGGGTCCACAAATTTTTTACATGTGGGGGAGCACGTGTGAGGGGCTCTATACAACCACGTTAATCCACTAAGATATAACTCGAGACCACAAAATTTGGGTGGCACTTACGGCATGGTTTGATTCTGTTTGCCTTTCTTCTCTTTTTATTTTTATTTTTTTGATCAAGAAAACCACAAAATGTTAGGCCACCGTTTTTTGGAGACTAAAATTAGAGTTTTAAAATATTTTGATAAAAATTGATGAAATGTATTATTAAAAAGTTACGAATCTCATAAAATAGGTAGTTAAATTAAATATTGATTTTGATTTAAATTAAAATCTAGATTATAATTCCTATCAAATAGGGGGGCTAAATGTTATAAATTAAAGAGAACAAAAAGGAAAAATCAATAAATTTGTGGGTTTATTAATAACCAAAGCTCCATATTTATAGGAAGAATTAAAGTTACCAAAGATACAACAATCATAATGACAAGGGCTACAGAAGTATAGAAGTCATTCATAAATACTACTATATTTTTGGCACCCCTTGAATGTCTATTTATACAATAATTATATCGTTGAAATAATATTTGACGAAAACTCGATTGGACAAAAATGCCAACAAATGAAAAAAGAGTACAAATAATTTGGAGTAATAAAATGTTGTCTCGTTAAAACATTGTCAAAAAAATTCAATGGGACAAAATGTGATTGAAGGAAAACGAGTATAGCTACTTTCTTTGATTTCAATTCTTGTATCAATTATTCATATCTTGTATGTCAATGTCTTCAATATTGGAATCGTGTATGTCAATATCTTCAAGAAAATCTAGTGGGACAATTCTATAATTGTAGTAACATAATTATTCAAAAAATAGCTCTTGTTGATCTTCTAGAGACTGAGTTTTATATATATAAAAGTATTATTTTGAGGGTAAATGTCTTTAGAGGTGGGCGCAGGTCGGTTAGGTTCGATTCGAACCAAAATTTTTGGGTATCTAGTAAATGGAACTGTCCGGTCCAAATATAATTATGGAACCGTTCGGGTTCGGTTCCGTTCGGCTCTATACTATAATTAAAATTTTTAATATTTATAACAACATTATATAAATACAACTAATGAAATATTCAATGGTTTTGGAATGTTAGAGACTAGTAGACTACTTTGTTCAAATGATTGCTACAGTTAAAGCTTCGATCGGAGGTCACATCGTCAGCCGACGATTGTATAGGTTTTGGAATGTCAGCGAGGCTACGAGAGTGAGTGCGAGAGTTGAGACAGCGTTATGTACTTTAGTGTAGGTGTTTAGGGTTATTTAGTGGATTGAATCTTGTTGGGCTAAGAAATGAAACAATAAAATGGGTAATTAGGCCAAAAATTAAAAAATTAGAAATAAAACAAATTATTGGGCCAAAAATTAGGATTTAGAAATTGTTATTTTGTTAACTTGTTTAGAAAAAATTAAAATTAAAATAATTTGATTTATTCAATATAAAAAAATAGAAAGATTCGGTTTTTGGTTTAGAACCAAGAATCGAACCATACCCGTTGGTTCTCTATTCAGATACCTGTTCGGGTATTTAATTTGACAAAAAATCGTCGGGTTCAGTTCAGTTCGATTCGAATTTAGTTCGGTTTGGGAGATTTGCCCAACCCTAAATATCTTATATATTATGGATATTCATTATTCAAAGAATATGTTTTGTTAAAATCTTATTACAAAAATCCCTGTAAAAAAATCATAAAGAGGGAAAAAGAGTACTTTTTTTTTTAAGTAGGAAAATTTAAAGGGACAAAATATTGGTTAAGGAAAAAATAGTACAACGCATATTCACTTCCTCTCTTGATAGTATCACTTGAATTATACTTCAAAAATATTAAATCCTTTAGGGATAACATTAATAGTAATCACAGATGAGTTGACTATCACGTATTTCAAATTAAATGCTTTGAATTTTTTGACTACAAATCTAGAAATTTTAGGCTTCTCTAGTGAATTCGATTTAGGATTACATCTCTTTTATTTGGTCAATCATTACTTCGATCGATATTTCGACTCCTTGCTATATGATGGAGTACATCATATACAAAAGTGTTGTCGACAACTTTTTCTTTTCAATTCTATTTCTTTCTTCACAACGATATAACTTATTCAGATATATCGATTTCAACATATCAAGTACCTGAACATTTTCTGGGGTTTTATAATTTGTTGTATTTAAATACTAATTAAAAGTATATCTCATTTGCTAATTAATTCATTTTCATTTGAAGATTTATTTTTGTATTAGAATCGAATACTATCATGTTTCATGCGTATAATAAATTTATCAAATATAATATTAATGAATTGTCCTTTCAGGAGTCAATTCGAGTTGGGCATTTAAAGTTAGTGTGTATGATATTGTTGATCTCTTTGTCAGTAAATGCATCAACATGAATTATCCTTTAAATTTTTTGAGAGAATTTATGTGATAGCGCATTTGTACATTATTTTCAATTTCTTAATTCCTCCCCCTAATATTGAGAAAAATGTCCAGTCAAATTTGCAATCAACAAATCGCTTTATAAAATATCACCTGTTAGGTTTTGAAATATTGTACAAGGGTTCAAACTACTCATTTATTTTCAGCATTTTATATTTTTTATCTCAGTGCATTGTAGTGATCAATTTTACATATACTATACTATAAAAATAATTAGATGAAAAAATTAGGATCTCACTATAAGCCAATTATAAAAAGGAGAACTATAATATTTGTATCATGCGTAATAGTATTTCCTAAAACAAAATTGAGAACTATTTTGTTCTCAATTTCATTGGAGATGTTTAACAAGTAATATTATTAAACCACTTATCAACATCTCAACTAACATTTATTAAAATGCTCAGATTTAGGATCACTAGCATTAATAAGTCATATCGTTTTGATTGTACAATCTAAAAATTATGCTTACAATTTGAAATTTGAGTAATAATTTCACAAATTTCAAGTTGTAATCACAACATAATCATATAGTATATCTATCAAATTTATAAGATACAAATAATATTTAGATGGTCAATGTGGAGGATGGATATGGCCCTATTCGTTACCCTAATTAATTATCAGAAATATAGAGAATTCAATCTCTATCTTAACTAGTGATATTTAATGATCAATTTTCAATGAAGAGAACAAATAGAATATAGGAATTCGTTCGATTAAAGAATCTTCAAGTTCTTCTTCGAATGTCCATTTGAATTTTTAATTTCATATAATTATTGATCCAGTGATGGTCTGATTGGTCATGCTTAGGGATGACGATCGGACTTGTCGGCTTGAAAAAAGCTCGAGCCTGTCCGACTCGAGGCTCGGGTCAAGCTCCATTTTGGGGTGCCGGAAGGAATGTCAATGAACCGAGCCAAGCCGACTTGCGAACCAAAATTAGAGGCTGGAGCTCGGCTCGGCTCGGATAAAATAATCGAGCTTTTCTTCGGGCACTAGCCTGATCGAGCAAAAAAAATAGGCTCGAGCAGGGTCGAGCCCGACAGGCTTGATTTTGGTGTCTTTTTTTATTATTATTATAACACATGGCAATAGGTTGCTACCATGTTTGGCAGCAACCTGCTGTCTTAAAACACTTTTTTTTTCTATTTTATTTTTTATTTTTAAATATAAGCTGTGAGTCATATGGGTCGGCTCAAGCTTTGCCCCACACCTTAAAATGGGGCTTGCCCCGAGCCTCAAGCCTACGAACCCGATCGTCATCCTTTGATGCCGGGTAAAGCTCCAGTCGACCCGTGTGACTTGGGCTCACGAGCCTATATTTTAAAAAAATACATAAAAAAAATAATAAATTTAAGGGCAACAACACATTGCCTTTTAAGGCAGCATGCTGCTGCCTATTTCAACCTACTATCTTAATTTTAAGGCAACAGAGGTTGCCTTTTTTATTAATAAAAAAATAAAAATCGAGCCTGCCTGGCTCTAGTCGAGCCTAATTTTTTTGGTCGAACTTTTGCTCGAGCTGGCTAGGGCCTGGAAGAAAGTTCGATCATTTTACTCGAGCCTTGAATTTTGGCTCGATGACATCCCTAGTTGTGCCAAATAATAAAATCAAATTGAACTTTTAGTTCAATATAGTGTTTGTTACAATTATACCATAAATTTTAGAAACTTATCATATTCTCTTTAATTTAGTTTAATTTAGTAGAGAATAAATTATTAATAGTAAAAATTTATTATCCTAGATAATGCATTATTGACTTTTATATAATATCAAAATAATATTTTTCTAGAATATTGATATACACCTAGTTATGATTATTCACAAGTAATAGAACGATATTCTTCAAGAATATTGATATTGAATTAATTATAATATTATTTCAAATAAATTTGTTCTTCTTCAAGAACAATATTCTTTAAGAATACTAATATGTATTATTTTTGCTTCTTCTAGAGTAACATATCATATTCTCCTAAAATATTGAAATTTTAATGACATGCTCTTCAAGAGCGGATAATTCCTTTTGGAACATTTATATAAGATGGGTTGTATTTTTTTCTAGAACATTAACACCATATTCATTTAGTATAAATATAATTTCTAGTAATGATTTTTTCTTGGGCACAAGTTAAATCAAAATATTTAAGCAATCTAAAAATTTACATAATATATAGTAGAAATAGAAAAACTTCTAAAAAATATACTTACTTGAATTTGAAAGGTTTAGAAATTCTTAAATAGTTGACAAATGTTATATTCTTTAAAGATACAATTCAAAAAAAAAAAGAAATTATAGTATTTTCTCCCAAAAGAACCATTGGATATTAATGGGAATATTTGGATTTGAAGCAAAATGAGTTTTGAACGTTTTATCCAAATTTCATGATGATTGGACAATGACACACAGAGATATCAACATTTTGTCACAAGAGTCCAGGCTATCCAGATTTTGCGAATTTTTGCACTATTGATTGTTTCTACAATTATTCCATAGTATATTGAATCACTATAGAATTAACGAACTTCGAGTTTGTGATAATGTCAATTTTATGAATTCATAGTACATGCTAAAAGGGAGCGCTAGTAATTTTTCTATTATTTACTTCTGATCATATACAAAATAAATGTAAGAATATTATATATTATTTTCTTGTATCATCTCAATGTCATATTAATTGCATCGCTATCTCAAAACTAAGCAAATTTCATCTGAATCCGCTAGAATAAAGTACATCGGTAATATATAATTTTGTATTATTTGATGAAATAATATAAGCTTTTCTGAAGCCTTCAACGACATTCAATACAACTGATGTCATATTAACATTATCTCTACTATTATTATGTCCAGAAAATACTTTTTGTCTTCAAGAATTGTGTGCATATTTGCACTATCAAATAGATAGTTATCTTGACAGTTCATCTTCAACTTTGGGATGTTTAGCATTTGAGTAACTTTACAATAAAATAAAATAAAATACAATTAATTTTGAAGATTATGATAATATTGTATAATCATATAATAATTAAATACGTGTTCAAACAAGTCAATGTCAACATGACATTAATTATATGTTTTTTCAGGGATAAACACTAATCAAAATTATATTTTATTCAAAATATATGCTACTTCAAGGGTACGTTATTTATTATTATTACATATTCAAAAGTAATGTGTCAAATATTCTGCTAAAACATTGAAAATTACAATTCATACTCTTTGATAGCAATCACATATTATTACAATAAATTATACAATGATTAACTATTCAGAAGTAAAAATATTTAAGTTAGATCATATTTATTATGCTCTTTTGGAGCAAGTAAAACTTAACTAGAACATCGATATATAAATACATACACAGAAGAATGGACATGTAAAGAAATTAAGAATTTAATTTGCGATTTTACATTGAAATCGATCAATATTCTTTTGAAATATTTCTGCTACTTCAAGAATAATAATAATTTAATTACTCGTTAGGAGCAAAAATATAATGTATTAAATCTTATAAAATTATGCTCTTCGGAAGCAAATAATTCTCCAATACAATATTCATATTTTACAGGGTCATACTTTTTCATGAACAATAACACAATATGTATCAACTTAATACATTAAAAAAAACCGAAAATTGATTGGATTCAAAGATAACGAACATCATTTAATATATTAAATCGATTAATCAATTTAATATATACTCACAAACGATAAATAATTGCTTACAACCGACCATTAAAATTGTTACCAAATTTGATTCTGAATATCGACTCAGTGAACATGATTATGTAAACACATATTAAAAGTTCCATGCAAAGTCCTACAATGTAACGACTCGAAACTTATGTGACGAAGGTTACTCAAATAATTCCTTTAGCTAGTATAAAAGTTGATTGATACGTTATAATGCCCAAAAAAAAATGAAGATCATTGCACAATAAAATAAGTTATTTTATTTTCTCATAAAAATGTCAATTCATCTAATCCACTACTATAATATAAATGAAGCACTTATTTTTTAAAAATTTAACGGCAATTTTGAACATTAAATACATAAAATTCTAAGTTAGACAATAGTTTTCTAACTAAATACTAAATATCGAAAGAAAAACTTAAATTATTGATCCAGCAATACGGACTATGTCAGTAGTCTCGACCTCCAACTCCGATCTATCAAGCATATGTTAAAATAATTTAAAATATGGAATGAGTATATGAACACGCTTAGTTGAGATTTTATGCTAATATTTTCACAATTTAATATAAAAAATAAGTAAAGTATGCACATAGCATAATTTTTCTAGTGGGATAGAAACCCAACCTCTCATTCTCCCTTATGTCATACCTATTCTCAATATCCACTTAGTGTTTGTAGCCGCATGACTGATTTCGATGTAGATCTACATAATAATACCTTATGGTATTACTCACAAGATTCTTATTTATTTTGGATTACATAATAGTACATAAAATACTTAACTTAAAATATAAAAAGGTGAAAATACAAAAACCCTTGGCATTTAGGAAAATTCATACATTATTCATTAAATTTCTTGTGTATTTGAACCATAGTTATAAAACCTGCCGAATGTCACAATTCCAATTTAGTTATTTAACTTTATGTATAAAGATTTCAAAATTTTGAATACTCTGTGAAGAGAAAAAACTTTTGGCAATTTATGGAGTAGGCAAGCAACAATAAATATAAGATAGTTGAAAATTTTCTTATATACTTTGTTATATTGCAAAAAGTATATTAGAGACAAGTGGATATACAAAAGTTGCATTACAAAAGTTTTCACTATGCAAAAGTCGCACTACGCACCATATTTTACTATCATAACCAACCGATTTATACTAATATTTATACTACATATCAAAGACCACCGGGACACATTTATTCTCCAAGAAAATCATTTGAAAATAAGTACTTCATAGTAGTGGCTTCGAAGTAGTCAATATAGTAATGAGATCCCACAAAGTGATAGAAACCCGAAAAGTCTTGATACGTCATCCATGTGTGGACTTCTTTGACATACATGCAATATCGGCCATCTTCCGAAATCGTCCATTCACCCAAGGTAAAGTCAATGTTTTCAATATGATCATCTACAAGAAAATAAAATAATGTGAATAGATTTATTCAGCGAGTAATCTATACCATAATCTTTCTTTAATTTGAATAAGAAAGGAAAATAATGGACCCCGATTATAGATGTTCAATCCTACCTGTGCGTGCAATATGAAAGTAACAATATATAAGCTCATTAGTTGATTACACCACTTTGGTATAAAATCAATAATATCAATCATTATCCAATGCAATGTCAATATCAATGGGTAGAATCTTGGATCTATAATTAATTTGAAAAGCAAGAAGTAATCCAATAAACATAATTGCAATAAATATGTTTGAAATAAAAGTAGGTATAAACTACTCACCTTCAAGTTGCAAGACAATTGAAATGCTATCTTTTTGAAGTTACTTGACTTTGGTTTTTGTTGTATGCATTTCCATTTCTCTGATTCTTCTCTATTTATAGTAATAATTTAGAATTAAATTAATAATTAATTTATTTTTTCTCAATCATTATTTTGCCACCTTTTACCCTATTATGCCATTTGTCATTGTAGTATATAAAGTGGCAAAGTGATATGTGTAGGGTAGCCACCTTATACCATTTGTCATTTTCATATTTAGAGTGACAATGTCATTTATGAAGAGTAACCACCTCATTTTCCTTAATTTTTTTCACATGGTTTTTAACCAAAATTTTAATTCAATTCTTTTCATAAGGTTATAATATTAGTAATAAACCTTTTACTATGTTACATGAAATATACATCACAATACAATGTATGAATATGCATTATAAACTTACTAAAGTTTTGGGATGTCACAATTTCCTCCCCAAAAAAATATTTTGTCCCCGAAATGACCTTAGTCAAAGAGTTCGGAATATTGAGCTTTCATTTCATCCTCTCTTTCCCAAGTTTCTTCTTCGATGGCATTACTTTGCCACAAAACACGAATTATTGGTATTTCCTTCTTGCGAAACTTCTTAGTGTCCTTCATTAATAATTTGACTGATTTTTCTTCCCAAGTTAAATCAGGATGAATATCAGTTGGTGCCTTTGTTAACTTATGAGCTGGATCTGGAATATATTTTCGAAGAGTTGACACATGAAATACATCATGTATTTTCTCATCTGTTCAAGTAGCTTTAATCGATAAGAAACTTTACCAATACGTTCAAGGATTTCGAAGGGTCCAATGTATCTTGGTGTCAATTTCCCTTTTTTCCCAAATCTTAGTAAACCCTTGATAGGAGATATTTTAATAAAAACATTATCTCCTATTTCAAACTCGAGTGGTCGTCGTCGTTTATCTGCATAGCTACGCTGTCGATCTTGAGCTGTTTTTAATCGTCTTTTAATTTTCTCAACTGCTTTCACCATATCTTGAACCATTTCGGTGTTTGTGATTTTATTTTCACCTACTTCATTCCAATATAAAGGGGATTGACATTTTCGACCGTATAACGCTTCAAATGGAGGCATTTGGATTGATATGTGATAACTATTATTATAAGAGAATTCAATTAAAGGTATATAATAATCCCAACTATACTGAAATTCCAAAACACGGGCACGAAGCATGTCCTCCAGAGTTTGTATAGTTCGTTCCAGCAGTCCATTGGTTTGTGGATAGAAAGCTATATTGAATTGAAGCTTCGAAACTAAACAGCTCTGCATCTCCTTCCATAATCGTGACAAAAATTGTGGATCACGATCTGATGTAATCATAACGAGTACACAATGGAGTCGGACTATTTCTCATATATACAACGTAGCAAACTGTTCCATTTTGAAGGTAATTTTAATGGGTAAAAAGTGTGCAGACTTAGTTAGTCGATCTACTATTACTCATATAGCGTCAAAACCTTTTGTAACCTTGGACAGACCACACACAAAATCCATTGTAATCTGTTCCCATTTTCATTCTGGAATTTGTAAAGGTTGTAGCAATCGTGCTGGTCTTTGATGTTCTACTTTTACTTGCTGATAAGTTAAGCATTTGGCTACGAATTTGGCAATTTGATGTTTCATACCCGGCTACCAATACAATGTTTTAACGTCGTGGTATAATTTGGTGGTTCCAGAGTAAACAGTATAAGGGGTTGTATGTGCTTCGTATAGAATATCATCCTATAGTCTGTTTATATCAGGTACATATATTCGATTTCTATATAGAAGAATTCCCTGATCTGAAATACAATAATCTGTTGGTTTTTCGCTAGCTAAGTTTTGTTGAATCTTAGTAGCAAAAGAGTCGCTCTTTTGACCTTCTTTGATTTTCTCCATTATGATTGATTGAGCAGTAAGAGTGATTAATTGTTTTCCTTTTGGTCCCTTTTCTTTCAATTGGGAGCTTTCTCGATCTTCACTTGAATGGTCAAAGGTCTCTTGGTGGAAAAGTTTTCTACTTAGTGCGTCAGCAACTACATTTGCTTTTCCTGGATGGTAACTAATGGTATAGTCATAATCTTTGATTAATTCCAACCATCTTCTTTGTCTCATATTCAACTCTTTTTTGGTAAAGAAGTACTTTAAGCTCTTATGATCCGTGAAGATCTCACATTTTTCTCCATAAAGATAGTGGCGCCATATTTGAAGTGCAAAAACAATGGCTGCCAATTCTAAATCATGTATAGGATAGTTTAGTTCATAAGATTTCAGTTGTCGGGAGGCATAAGCAATTACCTTACCATGCTTCATCAACACACAACCTAACCCATTTCTTGAGGCCTCACTGTAAATCGTAAATCCTCCCGCTCCATCAAGAATAGTTAAAATGGGTGCAGTAGTAAACCGTGTTTTAAGTTCTTGAAAACTCCTATCGCACTCATCTATCCATCTGAATGGAATATTTTCCGTGTGAGCCGAGTCAAAGGAGAAGCGATCTTCGAGAAGTTATGTACAAATCGTCGATAATACCCAGCTAGCTCGAGAAAACTACGTACTTCGGTAGGCGTAGTTGGTTGCACCCATTTAAGAATTGCATCAATCTTACTAAGATCTACTGAGATTTCTTCTTTGGTGATAACTGTCCTAAGAATGTCACTTTTTCCAACCAAAATTCACATTTTGAAAATTTAGCATAAAGTTGTTTTTCTCTTAAGATCTGTAGAACTGTACGAAAATGGTTTGTATGATCATCTTGAGTTTTTGAATAGACTAAAATATCATCAATGAATACAATGACAAATTTGTCCAGATAGTCCTTGAAGATTCGATTCATTAGGTCCATAAATATTGCTGGTGCATTTGTCAGTCCAAATGGCATTACAAGAAATTCGAAATGCCCATAACGAGTGCAAAATGCGGACTTAGGAACGTCTTCCTTTTTAATCTTCAATTGATGGTATCCAGATCGCAAATGTATTTTCGAGAAAATTGAGAACCATGTAGCTGATCCAATAGATCATCAATACGGGGTAACGAGTACTTTTTTTAATAGTGATTTTATTAAGTTCCAGATAATCGATACAAAGTCATAAGGATCCATCATTCTTTTTAACGAAAAGAACTGGAGCACCCCATGGAGATGTACTTGGTTGGATAAATCCTCGCTTTAAAAGTCATCTACTTGGCTTCTTAATTCCTTAAGTTCGGAGGGGGCCATTCGGTATGGAGCTTTGGATATAGGGTGAGTACCTAGTTGTATCTCTATGTCGAACTTAATTTCCCAATCAGGGGGCGGCCTAGGAAAGTCATCAAGAAATACATCCTAAAATTCTTGGACAACAATTATTGATGATAGGGTAATTGCTTTGTCTGCACTAAGTTGGTACAAACTTACCCAATACCCAGCATGTCCTTGAGTTAAAAGCTTGGTAGCCTTGGTTGCCAAAATTATAATTCTAGATGTTTTCTTAGGTATTGGAAAGGATACAGTGTCTTTGCCTAGAAGCTTCAATGTTTTGGACTTACAATCAATTAAAGCCTCATAGGTGGTTAACCAATCCATGCCTAATATAATATCAAAATCATGAAAGTCAAGCAGGATAAGATTTGCTGGAAGTTCCATATGTTCAATATATAAGCTAGCTTTGGGTAAAATAAATTTAGCATGGCAATTTGGTCCATAAGGAGCAACGATGTCCATATTATGTGGTACTAGAGTTGGTTTAATATTTAGATTATGCAAAAATTTCGTGGATATGAAAGAATGAGTGGCACTTGAATCAAATAGGGCAAAAGTAGGTGTAGCATAGGCATATATAGTACCTGTAACAACTTTCGCATCTTCGGTAGCTTCAGGTTGTACCATTGCAAATACTCTACCTACTGGAGGACTGGGTTTCTGCTGATTTTACCTTTTGTTGTTTGGACAATCCTTTACCAAATGACCCTCTTTTCCACCACCAAAACACAATCCAAGTTTAAGTTAACAAAGGCCCACTATGGAATTTTTCACAATGAGGACATGATGAAGGTGTTGTCTCCTTGGATTTGTCTTCCATTTGAACCTTTTTGTTTGGGAACCAAGGAGTATTTTTGCCAATCCTGGTACTTTTAGTGGTATCGTTCCAATGCCTATTGCTCAAGATTTTCATTTCTCGAGCTTGAGTTATTTTGGCCTCTGCTTGTTCTGCCACTAATGCCTTATCTATTACCATGGAAAAATCCAAGCCTTGAATTTCTGACATTTGTACATCTCGTGTCAATTCTAGTTTTAGCCCTCCAATGAAACGATCAATTTTTACTTCGCTAGTAGTGGTCACGTGAGTTGCAAAACGTGATAATTCTTCAAACTTCGTAATGTATTGAGATACAGTCATTAATTCTTGTTTTAAAAATAGAAATTCATTTAACTTTTGCTGTTTGGCTGTCGAAGAGAAATATTTTGCTCGAAATTTTTTGCAAAAAGTTTCCCAAGTCATGTCTTGAGCTTCTCCAATGCTGGTTAAGGTATCCTACCAATGTCTAGCATTTTCCCTTAACATAAATTATGCACATATAACTTTTTCGGATTTTGGAATATGTGCATATGTAAACATACTCTCCATGGTACGAATACAATTTTTCGCTTCAATTGGATATTTCGCATCATCAAACACCGGGGGTTTTAATCGTTGACAACGATTACTAGTATCATTTTCTTCCCTGGTCCTGGAAGATTCTCCATTGGAAGTGTAGTTGTTGATTAGTTGATTTATATGTCGAGCTTTACGTTGGACCAATCGAGTCAAATGTTCAATTGATGCAGTGTTACTATCCCTTTGACTATTCTGAGACATTTCCTAGCTATTGCAAAACAACAATGTCCATTAATGATCTGTAAAAAAATTTCCTTGTAATTTGTTGTCCTTATGAGGCATTATATTTATATTTATATCTTCTTTTTAATGAAAAATTCACTTTGTATTACCGACTTCTAAAGCAATAAGAAAAGTTTCACGTAAATTATAAGACTTACCTTGTGAATGGATGCCAGAAGATGGAATTTGCATGTATTTCACGTTACAAGATCGAGTTTAAAACCTTGGCTCTGATACCATAATTGTCACAATCCCAATTTAGTCATTTAACTTTATGTATAAAGATTTCAAAATTTTGTATACTTTGTGAAAAGAGAAAACTTTTGGCAATTTATGGAGTAGGTAAGCAACAATAAATATAAGATAGTTGAAAATTTTCTTTTATACTTCGTTACATTGCAAAAAGTATATTGGAGACTAGTAGATATACAAAAGTTGCGTTACAAAAGTTTTCACTACGCAAAAGTCGCACTACGCACCATATCTTACTATCATAACCAACTGATTTGTACTAAGATTTATACTACATATCAAAGTCCACCGAGATACATTTATTCTCTAAGAAAATCATTTGAAAATAAGTACTTTATAGCAGTGGCCTCGAAGTAGTCAATATAGTAATGAGATCCTATAAAGTGATGGAAACCCGAAAAGTCTGGATACATCATCCATGTGTGGACTTCTTTGACATACATGCAATATCGGCCATCTTCCGAAACCATCCATTCACCCGAGGTAAAGTCAATGTATTCAATAGTGATCATCTACAAGAAAATAAAATAATGTGAATAGATATATTCAGCGAGTAATCTATACCATAATCTTTCTTTAATTTGAATAAGAAAGGAAAACAATGGGCCCCAATTACAGATGTTCAATCCTACCCGTGCACGCAATATGAAAATAACAATATATGAGCTAATTAGTTGATTACACCACTTTGGTGTAAAATCATGGGTAGAATCTTGAATCTATAATTGATTCGAAAAGCAAAAAGTAATCCAATAAACATAATTGCAATAAATATGTTTGAAACAAAAGTAGGTATAGACTTACTCACCTTCAAGTTGCAAGACAATTAAAGTGCTATCTTTATGAAGTTACTTGACTTTGGTTTTTGTTGTATGCATTTTCATTTCTCTTCTTTTCCCCTATTTATAGTAATAATTTAGAATTAAATTAATAATTAATTTATTTTCCTTAATCATTATTTTGCCACCTTTTACCCTATTATGTCATTTGTCATTGTAGTATTTGGAGTGGCAAAGTGATATGTGTAGGGTAGCCACCTTATACCATTTGTCATTTTTATATTTAGAGTGACAAGGTCAGTTATGGAGAGCAGCCACCTCATTTTCCTTAATTTTTTTCACATGGTTTTTAATCAAAATTTTAATTCAATTCTTTTCATAAGGTTATAATAGTATTAATAAACTTTTTACTATGTTACATGAAATATACATCACAATACAATGTATGAAT